CATAGACAGCCCCTTTGAATGTGTAATGATGCGTGGGAAGGTAAATAATAAGGTTTTCAATCATTTTTCGATCAAAAATACACACACACACATGCATACACACATACATAGATACATACAAAAACACAGATATACAAGCGCATACATACATTGCTATGTATATATATACACACACACATACGTTCAAACACAGTAACACATACAATTAGACACGAAAACCTACAAACAAATATTCACATCTAAACATACGTATGTGCATTACATATAGGTAAACATACACACACCTACCTATACATACACAGATACACACATACATATACACACATACACATACATATTGTTTGTGTTTGTGTGTGTGTGTGTGTGTGTGTGTGTGTGTGTGTGTGGTATGGAACAAAATAAGTTCCTTTATTAGCACAAATCCAATCTAGCGCTAATAAAATTCTATTCATTTTATTTTTTACTCTCTTTCTTCTGTTTAATTTATTTTGATTTATTTCAAATGAAAAGTTGGTTAATCGCGTGCTAGTGTGTATGTGTGTGTGTATATGTGTGTGTGTGCGCGCGTGTGCGCGCGCGTGTGTTTAAAAGTATATATGATATATGTAGTACTAAGAACTCGCACTATAGTTCGATTCATGTTGCTCTGATAATAGTGAATTAAGCTGGTAGCTTCATGCTACCAGATTCAAGTGTTACTCGATCAAAAAATTACTTAGAACCATGAGGGGTCTACTTAGAACTATCGAAAATTACTACTAACGATTTCTCAACAATGCTTCTGGATACTAAATCTACCAAAGCCATATTTCATTGAGAATTCTTTCAAATTTGAAATGCAGAACGCTGTTCGATCGGAAAAAGTAAGAAGAAGAAAAATAACAATAATAAATAACTATGTTGGTCTTAACGTAAAAAAAACGAAAAAGTTCGCAGTCGACAGGGTTCGAACCTGTGCGGGCAGAGCCCAATAGATTTCAAGTCTATCGCCTTAACCACTCGGCCACGACTGCTATACAAGTACAGAAGTTTTAAATCTTTGAAATAGAAAATGGTTATTTTTGTGTTATTTTAATTTGTAAACTATTAGGACCAATCAATTAGAATTTTGTAGATTTTTATTAATTTAAAGTTTTAAATTTGACAAAAAGTAACCTATTTTGATATAAAAATTTGTGTACACTTTATTAGAACATCAATAAAAGAATGGTGAAACTTAGTTAAAAATATAAAACATGAAACTTTAAATTAAGTTGTTGTTTTGTACAGCATATAAAATGTAATTTTTGTAAAAATCAAACTGCTGTTTAGTTTTGAAAAGAAATAGTAAAATACTTTAAAAGATTTCAATTTTTTATATGAAGCGCTTCAATGAAACGTTGAAAAAATTGTTTTAAAAATTCCAATTGGTCGGCAAATCGTCCAATGGCGTTACGTCTTTTCAGGATTAATATGGCAACATGGCGTTAAGGAGTTTCATTATAAATACGAACCACGTCCCCGCAACATCTGTCCTTCTAATTTCACAAAATTTCTCACTAGTTTCTCTTAAATTTTTTGCTAATTTTTTGCTTTGTTTAAATGTTTGTTTGGTTTCGAAAATTTTTCCTCTAATTCTTCTTCCGGATTTGTGTTTTGGGTGTTCACGGACTTCTTGCCGAAAATCAGCAACTGTTTCAGAGCAGCTTCCATTGTGTTACGCCTTGGAGCCGCCATTTTGAAACCGAAAAAAAAATTCATATATTGGTTATCTGGCCGATGAAGGCTCGCATTTAACATGTCATCAAGGTAGACAGTTGAAAATTAAAGTTTTGTTGAGTCCTGACACTCTTGTGTTTTTTTACTATAGTATTCAGTGCTTCACTGTGTGTTTAAGTGCCAGTCTTGATTTTAACAAGGCCAGGTTGTAAGGATGACATTGCATAAGACAAATTAACAAAATGTTCAACATTTCCATCTCAGAATGCATGATTTCACATTGTGTCAATTAGTTTTGTGTTTAGTTAAGCCTTAAGTTAAGTGGAATCATCAATAGTATTTTCACTGCATTAAGATTATTCACCAATTTCCAGGCCAATACTGGATAATAGTGATAATATTTATATTATAAGTATATAAGCAATGCATGCTTGAGTGAGGCAGTGAACACATTGATCAAACGATAGCTTACTAAAATTTGTCTTATGATAGTTATTACTAAACAGAACTTATTTAAATGTTGGATTCATTAATAAAAATTAATTTAACTATAATTCTAAAACAAGTAACAACACAAAACAAATTAGGTTGGATAGACTGCTACTCTTGTTAGATTCGGGGTCGAATGCTGCGATAAGAAAATCTGCAGCCGAACAATTAGGAGATGTGCAGAAGTTGTATCCCAACGAGCTTCATAATTTGCTTAATAAGGTTCCTCTGTGCATATGCAGTTGTTTGTTGAATTAGTTGATGACAATATTTTTGTTACAATTATATATATATAATATATATATATTCGAATAATAATAATAATATATTGGATTAAGACTGTCAGAAATGCATCAATAATAATCAGTCATTCATCATTCATCAATAATAATTATATATGTATATATATCCTATGTGCGTGTGTGTGTGCTTATGTGTGTCTGTGTGTGGGTTATATATGCAATTATATTCTAATAATCATTCATATCATATATATCTGTTCAAATGTATACCAAAACTAACACTAAATCAAATTTTCATCAATCTAAAAATAGGTCCATGTCTATCTGATGAGTAGCCAATGGGAGACGAGGGTTGCGGCTAGCCAGGCTGTTGAAGCTATAATTAGAAATGTTGATCAGTGGCAGCCAATTGGATTAGAGAGATTGGATGATCACAATTTAAATGGTTTATTTATAAAAATTATATACTGGTTAATGTAATTATACTATTTTTTCAACTCCAAGCAGGAAGACTCAGCGTAGAATCTTCTGACCATTTGAGTTTATCGAATTTTGATGTGAACAAAGTTCTAGCGCAAGATGTCATTCTGTCCATGTGTGATGATAAGGAGTTTGAGGAACCTACTGGCTCCTTTGAAGGTTTATCAAGGGTTCCAAAATGAACCTGAATTTTTTAAGTTATTCATCTGATTTTGTTAATTTACTTCCTTGTAACTTGACTGAAATGTAATGAAAATTAATTTTTATGATAGCTATCATTATTCTCAGTATCAATATTACCATCTTTATAATCATCATCATAATCATATTCATCATCACCCCCACCATCATCATTGTCCTCTTCCTTATCCGTATCTTCATTATCGTCGTCGTCATCATTACCATCAGTTATAAACAGTCGGGAGAAGTTGCAGGAGCAAAAGAGGCAGCTGAACAAAAAGTTGGGCCTTGATGTCTGCAGCATGTTGAACATGTCCGTTGACAGTCTCTTCGAGGAGAGTGACCTGATAGTCGAACCCAAAATGGCGGCGGTGGCGGCCACCGTGACGTCATCAGTTAGATTGTTTCTGTTGTTGTTGTTGTTGTTGTTGGTGTTGTTGTTGGTATTGTTGATATTTTTGTTGTTGCTGTTGACGTGTTTTCGTATGTCTATTAGAGATATTATTTTGTCGTCATCACTCTTTAAAGGTTTCATCATCAGTGAAGGATTATGTTGAAAATAAGCTAGTTGCAAGCAACAACAACAACAACAATAATAGTAATAATAATATAAAGTCTGGAAAAAGAAAATGTGAGAGTGACAATTATGCCACAGAGAAGAAATTAAAGTTGGAGTTAGCTGATGATGATGATGACGATGACAATGACGATGATGATGATGAATAATGATGGTGGTTGTGATGTTCCTGATGATGATGACGACGATGACAATGTTGATGTTCATGATGATGATGAATGAGATGATGATTATTGCTATAATTTATTCGTTCATTAACATGTCATTCTCGTCATCAACATGTGCTTACTCACTCAGTGGTTCGTACGTTTGTTCATACGTTTCATTCATTGGTTCATTCATTTGTTCATTTTTTTGTTCATTCATTCGTTCGTCCGATCAAAATCATCATTAAGAAAGCCGAGTGATGAAGATGGAGATTCCATAAAAGATGACGATTTTATTGCAGAAGAAGAGGTTTTTTTTTTTATTTTCACTCGTTCATTTATCCATTCATTCATTTATTCATTCATTCATTCATTTATTCATTCATTCATTCATACTTTCAATCATTCATCCATTCACTGATATAGAAACCACAGACAGATTGGCCTTTCGCTCACTTTGCTCATTCTCTCGCCAATAATCTTTTTAATGCATCCTGGGTTAAAAGGCATGGCTCGGCCCTTGGTCTCAAGGTCATCCTCAAAGTTCATGGCTCAGGGGCTGGCAAGTCCTGCTGTCTCTATAAGGATGAGGTCTGTTTGAGGTTGGCCGGTTTCTTGGCTGTTTGTGATTGGCTGGTTAGTTTGTCGTTTGTGACTAGCCCAGGATGGCGTCTGTTTGTAATTAACTGGATGGTTTGTTGTTTGTGATTGGTTGGTTTATGGTTATCTGTGATTGGCTGGCTGGTTTTTGGGCTAATTTGATCTATGTACGATTAGTTGATTGTTTGTTTCGGTAATATTTCATAAATTTATTCACTGTTGTAAAGTTGGAGAAGGCGAACTTGGTGTATTTGGAGGATCTGAGTGTCCGCCTTATCTGCGTGCTGGCTCTCGACAGATTGGGCGACTTTTTATCTGATGAGGTTACCAGTGACGTCATTGCTGACGTCATTTTCATGCCTTTCATTGTGCCGCCGTCGTCGTCGTCATTATTTACGTCATCGTCGAATAATTAAATTAACACCATCATCATCATCAACACCAACGACTCCATCATCATCATTATCAACACCAGCGACATCATCATCATCAACACCAGCGACTCCATCATCATCATTATCAACACCAGCGACATCATCATCATCAACACCAACGACTCCATCATCATCATTATCAACACCAGCGACATCATCATCATCAACACCAGCGACTCCATCATCATCATTATCAACACCAGCGACATCATCATCATCAACACCAACGACTCCATCATCATCATTATTCACACCAGCGACATCATCATCATCATCATCATCGACTCCAATGACGTCTTCATCATCAGGTGGTCGCTCCAGTTCGAGAAACGTGCGCGCAGACACTGAGCATAGCATGCATGCACGTTGACAAGCGGGGCGCACTGCAGATAGTGAAAGCATTACTCCAGCTACTTGATCATAAGTGGGTTACTCACTGATGGTGGCGATGATGATGTTCTTTTTAATGATGATGATGGTGATGTTGGGTTGCTAGTTGTGATGACGGTTGCGTAATGATGATAGCAATGATGCTAATTGTTTTATGATGAAGATGATGATGAGGATGAGGAAGATGATGATGATGAGGAGGATGAAGAAGAAGAAGATGATGATGATGATGAGGGTAATGATATTTACTCACCACATCATCGTTGTCGCAGGCAAGAAAATGGCGAATTGTGGGAGGTCAGACATGGCGGACTGCTGGGGATAAAGTACATCCTTGCTACACGGAAGGTTGGGATCATGATGAGGGGGATTGTTATTATTTTTATTGCTATTATTATACACATACATACATACATTCTTTCCTACGTCATCATCGTAGTCATCATCATCATCACTCAGGATATGACCTATGATCTTTTAGAATCCTGCCTGCCGAGCATACATATAGGACTGCTGGACGGATCTGATGACGTCAGATCCGTCGCTGCATCCGCATTACTTCCGGTTGTGGACGAGTTAATCCGGAGCTCGCCGGATCAGGTTATGGTTTTGATTGCGATTGTGATGATGATGTTTGTTGTAGTCGTTGTTGATAATGATGCTTTTTTCTCATTTTATTGATATTTTTTATCAGTAGGTGAAATTATCAGGGTGAAATTATCCGATGGAAAATTTTGAATTTTGAGCCATACAAGAGTGGTAACAAAACTAGCTAATTTTAATTCATTTTCAGGCTCTAAAGATTATTGATAGTCTTTGGTTGTCGTTGAAAGAGTTGGACGATCTGACGTCATCCACGAATAGCATCATGTCGCTATTGTCGCAGCTTCTCTCGCATCCGCTTGTCTGTCATAAGTAAGATGATGATGATGATAATGATAACTACCTACCCGCGGACACATACACACACGCGCACACACACACATACGCACGAATACATGCACACACATTAGCGTAGACATACATGCACATACACACACACAAATGCATACACATACACATGCACACAACAGATACCAGGGTTCGACATTGAGCGTATTGATACCACTTATATACCCGTTCCTGAGTCACAACATCACATCAGTGAGGCAGGCCTCTTTGCAAACCTTAGTGACCTTGGTCAAAAGGTCACTCGATATTAAGGTAGCGTTTTTTGTTATTGTTGTTATTATTTTTACTGTGATTGTTATTATTACTGTTGTTGTTATTATGAAAGGATGTGACTTGGATATCTGGAATATTGCAAGACCTGATGAGGCACATATACCAACGCAGCCTGCTAGAGTATGACGTACATTTGCTTGACCTTATTGTCGAGGTCTGTGTGACGTCATTCACTTGTTTGTTCGTTTGTTGTTTGCTCATTCATTTGGCCGGCCTTTCGTTCGTTCGTTCATTCATTAATTCATTCGTTCGTTCATTCATTCATTTACTGTTTCATCATTAGCACGTTCGTTCGTTTTTATTGTTAGTTTTTCAACTCGTTCATTCGTTAGTTGTTTAATTATTCATTTGTTTCTTCATTCATTTATTCATAAATCTATTTGCTCAATCGTTCGTTTGTTCATTCATTCACGAATCCAATTGTTCAAATTATTTGTTGTTATTTTCGCCAAGGTGTGGCGTAGCATATTGGCCTGCGCTGGCAACGATCAGCTGGTAGCAGCGGTTGGCTTCTACTTCAACAGCTGGATGTGCATGTTGATGCAGCCAGCTGGCGTGCCTTACGACCACCAGCTCTTGCTAAACTCTTCTTCCTCATCATCCATGCCTGCTAACCTGGTTCGTTCGTCTTCCTTGTCTACATCGTTTGTGGGTATGAAATGCTGTGACTCTCTCACTCTCTCTCTCTCTCTCTCTCTTTTTGTCTCTCTCTCTCTCTCTCTCTCTTTCTCTCACTCTCTCTCTCTCTCTCTCTTTTTGTCTCTCTCTCTTTCTCTCTCTCTCTCTCTCTCTCTCTCTCTCTCTCTCTCTCTCTCTCTCTCTCTCTCTCTGTCTATTTGGTCTCTCTCTGTCTTTCTCTGTTTCTTTCTTTTCTTTTCAATTTTTTAACGTGTATTTATGTGATAGTGCATGGTATGGTTTATAATTGCATCGTCGACTACTAGCATTAATCAAAATGATGTATATGTGTTATTCAAAATGAAGTCATCATCGACAAACGCAACGCCATCATCTCCGTAATTATTTAGAACACTAGTGTTGCGAAACAGCAGCAGCAGCAGTGCAACATAAAGTTCATTGCTGAGATTTCAAACATTGTCGACTCGACGGCCGAACGAGATGCTTTGGTCACCAGGGCTCGTTTGACTGCAGCTAAGTTTGTTTGTTTGCTTATTGCTGTTTGTTTGTTGCTGTTTGTTTGTTTGTTTGTTTGCAGTTGATGTTGTTTGTTTGTTTGTTCGTTGATGTCATTGATGCTATTGTTGTCAACTTAGTTATTTCAATATTCCAAAAGATACCAGTCTAACTTAGCTGTGTTTTTTTTTTGTTTTTATAGCTTACTTGGTCAGCTCTGTTACGTTCTAACCAAACCACAGCCAGAACTTCAAAATGACCAACAACAACAAACCGACCAACAACACCAACAACAACAAACTGACCAACAACAAAAACGACAATTAATATCCAACGACCTATGCAAACTGTTCAGCATCTATCTCTCGTCTAAATCGGCCATCCAACGCATGCTCACCTCGCATATCATCAACTTCTGGGTGGTCAACATCAATTACAATAATAACAACAACAATAACAATAATAATAACAACAATAATAACAATAATAACAACAATAATAATAATAATAATAACGGTACTACCACAACCACTGCTACTGAAGATTCCAAATCTAGTAACGCTACTAGCAGTGCTAATGAAAATTGTAATAGTATCTCTACTGCTTCTACTACATCTAACTGTAATGTCGGCGATAATAACGACAATAACAACAGCAATAACAACAACATTAGCAACAATACTAACAATAACAACAATACTTATAGCAGGGATTCATTCGATATAATTCCTAGCTATTTAGTTGATCAGCTACGGATATTATTAACCGAGCTATTATACTACGACGAAATAGCTACGATGATTACAGTTCTTCAGGTTGAAAGCCGATCGCTCTTAGCTTTCATTGCTAGCTGTGGTATAAAGCTGGCCGAGCCCTATAATGATCTGAAGTTAGTAATGATGGAGATGATGATGATGGTGACGAGATGATGATGATAATGATGACGATGGGATGATGAGGATAACGATGACGATGTTGGTGTTATTGCAATGAGAAGGATTAAACTTTTTGACCCTTGAACCTTTTGATATTTGGATTGTTTGACCTTTCAACCCGTGACCTCTAACAGCGCGGTCTTGACGACGGAACAAATACAGCATTTGTGTAAAGTGGAGGCAGAGAATTGCTCTAAGTCGTTGGTCAGTTTGAAGGCCAGCACGAACCAGCTGGAATCCTTGCAGAGGAAACGCTCAAATTTGGAAACTTCCTTGAGCCAGACGGTGTCTGAACAGAATATACTATCTAATAGGTCAGTCGGTTGGTTGGCTGGTTGTGGTTGGTTGGCTGGTCAGTTGGTTGGTTGGCTGGGCAGTTGGTCATAAACCTCATCATGATTTCGCTACTATCTCTATATTGATGACTGATCAATCACAATTTTCTATGTATATCTTACTGACCAATAACGAGCAGGGTTCAATGTAGCATTGCATCTGTATTGGTCCATATGGATAGAATGCCTAGCTCTCTCAATCCGATAATGAGGCCCATAATGGAATCCATCAAATCAGAAGAGAATCTGCAACTTCAAGTTAGCTGATTGGCTGATTGATTGGTCGATTGATTGATTGATGCTAATTAGTGTTAGATTGATGTTAATAAAAATTTTTTGTAAATGATAATAATAATGATAAGGAACTCACCGGGTCAATCCTCTCCGAGGTCATTGAACTTTGCAAAACTAGGTTACCCTGTCCCAATTTGAAGGCCATCAAGAATTTATGCAACATGGCCACTGCCGATTGTAAATGCTTTCTTGACTCCAATGGTTGGTTGATTATGATGACGCTGCTTCTGCTGCTACTACTGCTGCTTCTTCTACTGCTACTACTGTTACTGCTGCTACTACTGCTGCTGCTTCTACTGCTACTACTATTACATTTGCTACTACTACTACTACTACTAATAATAATAATAATAATAATTGTTATTAATTGTTATTAATTTCGTTTTCAAAAGTAATAGGTCTTGAAAAATTTGACAAGTTTTCTGATATTATGGTTCTTTGGACTAGACAGCAGGTACCGTACGTGTGTGTGTGTGTGTGTGTGTGTGTACGTGTGTGCGTGTGCGTGTGCGTGTGTGCGTGTAGTTTAATATATGTATAGTACTACACTTATGATAAACAATTATTTTATTTTTTGTGAGTCTAGGTGCAGATTTCCAAAACGAGAAAGTTGGGTTCTTTAAAAAAATCATCTTCATCGTCGTCATCGTCTACGTCATCAGCAGCTGCAGCATCAACAGCAGCAGCAGCAGTGAAAGATGATGCTGATGTTAATGAAGCTGCTGAAGTTGGTGATGATTATGATGATGGTGGGGATGATTATGATGATGGCAGCAGCAGTGAAAGATGATGCTGATGTTAATGAAGCTGCTGAAATTGGTGATGATTATGATGATGGTGGA